CATCTCAAACAAGGAGACTGATCAGAGATGCAGCTAAGAGGCCCATGATCACTCTGGATGAACTGCAGATAACTACAGCTGAGGTGGGAGAGTCTGTCCATAGGACAACAATCAGTCGTGCACTGCACAAATCTGGCCTTTATGGAAGAGTGGCAAGAAGAAATCCATTTCTCAAAGATATCCATAAAAAGTCTCATTTAAAGTTTGCCACAAGCCACCTGGGAGACACACCAAACATGTGGAAGAAGGTGCTCTGGTCAGATGAAACCAAAATCAAACTTTTTGGCCACAATGCAAAACGATATGTTTGGCGTAAAAGCAACACAGCTCATCACCCTGAACACACCATCCCCACTGTCAAACATGGTGGTGGCAGCATCGTGGTTTGGGGCTGCTTTTCTTCAGCAGGGACAGGAAAGATGGCTAAAATTGATGGGAAGATGGATGGAGCCAAATACAGGACCATTCTGGAAAAAAACCTGTTGGAGTCTGCAAAAGACCTGAGACTGGGACGGAGATTTATCTTCCAACAGGACAATGATCCAAAACATAAAGCCAAATCTACAATGGAATGGTTCACAAATAGACGTATCCAGGTGTTAGAATGGCCAAGTCAAAGTCCAGACCTGAATCCAATCGAGAATCTGTGGAAAGAGCTGAAGACTGCTGTTCACAAACGCTCTCCATCCAACCTCACTGAGCTCGAGCTGTTTTGCAAGGAAGAATGGGCAAGAATTCCAGTCTCTTGATGTGCAAAACTGATAGAGACATACCCCAAGCAACTTGCAGCTGTAATTGCAACAAAAGGTGGCGCTACAAAGTATTAGCGCAAGGGGGCCGAATAATATTGCACGCCCCACTTTTCAGTTTTTTATTTGTTAAAAAAGTTTAAATTATCCAAAAAATTTCGTTCCACTTCACGATTGTGTCCCACTTGTTGTTGATTCTTGACAAAAAATGTATGTTGAAAGGGTCAAGGGGGCCGCATACTTTGCAAGGCACTGTACATACCGCAACTATTGTTCAGTAAATATTACGAACATGATATGAATATGATGCATTGTTTGTGTTCATTTTGGCCCTTAAAGAAGATGGAAACAACCAATGGTAATGGGACTAATGCCATGTGAAGCATCTTTGAGTGTCCAGAAACCAGAAAATGTCTATCGAAGCATTTTGCTTCATAGCCACGTACTGTATCTGTCCTTCTGTGCTCTGAGACCATTTGGTATAAGACAGTCTTGATGGTGCTAGGTCAGGTGGATCAACGCCTCTTCTCAGTTTGATACATTGCCCACATGTAGACCGGGACCAGACTGGCACCAGATTAGAACCACAGTAGTTAGACTGATTTAGGAGGAACACCGATTCGAGCCCCTTTTTCCAAGCGCACTCGATAATCTTATACTTTGTGAATGTACTCAATGTTGTGATGTGGTTTGAAAACTCAAAAAAGAACATATTTCTTGACTTTAAATCATTAGAAGTACATTTGCTGGTGTAGTGTTTTGCACAATGAGCTCTTTGTGGAACTCTCTCTATATTCATGGAGATTCTTCCAGACACATGGCAGCATCTGGAAGGCCAGTGCTTTTGTTTGACCCGCGTCTTATCATGAACCATTTCACCTGCGCTTGCTGGCCATGTTGCCATAGCAACGGCTGTGTAGAAATCCGCCGGCTTAATGGTGCGACCTTAACCCAGCGCTCTCAAGACAGTGCTTTCACGGTGTTATGAATTCACACGGGGCGTACAGTGCACAGCCAATCAATATTTCAAAAGGAGCCGTTCCCTTTTATATTGATTTCCGTCTGAAAATTAAGCCTATGTATTCACAAGTATGAAAGTGTGAGTGTGATGTGGCACACCTCACTTCACACTTTTTTGTACAAAAAATTACCAAAATAAATTCATATTTCATCCAATTTCTCAATTCAGACAAACCCTATAGAGGTGAAACTCGGAAAATTCAAAAGTCAATTTACTTTACTCACAGCCTCTAAAAACACCAAATAAAACAGAATGTTAATATTTAGAAAATGGACTGTAAGCCATAATTATTACAATTATAATAAACACATGTTTGGCATATGTCACATTGCATGTGATAAGTTTCACATGTATAATATTGTTTTCAGTGTACAGTATTTTAAGAACTGCTCATGCTGATATTTCCTGGTACAATACATTGTCTCCCCACCCCTTCTCTCTTAATGCTCATGTTTCAAACTCATTACCGCTATGACAAACCCACAGACTGTAGGCGTTTACACACTACAGACCTGTCTGGTTTGGAGCCATACCAGTTTTCTACCACAGGTAACACAAAAAAGGGTCAAAACAAACATCCAACTTCCTAAATAGGTCTTCAGAAGTCACAGCGCACCCAGGACCAGAAGGAATCACATTATAATGGATAATGGAGCATTTTCGTCAAAGTGCTCCTGTCTCAATTCTGGAACACTGTTGAATCCATGAATCCTTGGAAGCATGTTTTATAATTATCAACCACGTGAGTTTGTGAAACCACCGCCCTGACTGGCACTGTACAGTATGTCTCCCCACCCACTCTGTCTTAATGCCCATGTTTGAAACTCATTACTTATTCCTGGCCAAAAGGGTCTGGTGCGCTTTCAAACACCAGCCCCCATCACTCGTTGAAAGAACTTTTAAAGGAGACATAGTATGCAACATCAACTTTTTTTTAGAGCTTTTAACCCTGTTGCAACATCAGTCACAGGCCTGGAGTTGCTTTTAGATCCATCCACACTAAAACCAGACACTTCTGGCTACCCCTACCTCTTCTGTCTAAAAGCTTCTGTCTCAGTTCTGTAATAGTATGTCATTGCACCACTATAACATAATGTGTAACCTTTTTACTGATATCATTTCACATTCTAAAACATAAACTGACAAAGTAAATTCTCATTCTTCTTTCTAATGGCCAAAAAATAGAGTATTATTTAAATCAACATTGCAGAAAACTTGAGGTATCAGTATTCCATTTACAAGGAGCACAATATACTGTATACATAAAAACACATTCAACAATATGCATATGTTTACGCCTAAATCTCAAGTCTAATCATAATTTGTACTAAAAATTGCATTCTGACATGTTGCCAAAGTCATCAGCTCTTCGAATGCGTGTGCACTGTTGCCCCGGAGCAGTAGAAGCCTGTCCCCTCCCCCTTCTCCCACTGCCCCTTCTGCCCCTCTCGCTCTGTCTCTGCACTGCAAAAAAAAAAGGACCACAGAGAAGTTCATATGTGCTTGAAATCAGCAAGTAAGGGTTCCTACGGGTGTTTTCTATAGTGGAATTCAACTCTTCTTCCCTTTTTCAGGTATTTTATTTATGAAAGTATTTAACACATGCCATGGTCTATTTCACAGAACTACTGTAGTAGTAAGTAGTAATCTTTATTTATATACCGCCTTTTCACTGCAAATCTGAGTCTCAAAGCGGTTTACAATTGTCAATTTTGGGCATTTGTCTCTCACTCCACACAAAGATGGGAGCGGGGTCGCCGAACATGATGTGCATGCCAGACCTATTGTACATATTTTTAGTGGTAGGGGAAACCGGAGTACCCGGAGGAAACCTACGCAGACACGGGGAGAACATGCAAACTCCACTCAGAAAGGCCCTGGTCCGACCGGGATTCGAAACCAGGACCTTCTTGCTGAGAGGCGAGAGTGCTATCCACTCAGCCACCGTGCAGCCTGTGCAAAGAAAAACAGTTGGTTTTGTTTTGTGTTGAAAATGGTTTTTCGCTTCTGTTTGGATTGTAGCGTGTGGTCTGTGGCTGTGTTGTGTTGTAGTTAGGGCTAGGGTTGCACTCTTTATTTAGGCTGTAACCAATATATTAGCGGTTGAAAAATCAAACTTTTGAGGAGAAGGTACATTGTGCATGCATTTTTAGACCCACAAATCAAAATTCAAGACCTTTTCAAGTGTTTTAAGGTATTATTTCTAAATTCATAATCAATAAATTCAAAGATTTTAATACTTACATTAAAGACTTTGTCAGTGTTTGTAAACAAAAATGGCTATACCTGCAAAGTCCTAGTTTGTGACTTGCTTATAATGGCAATAAAGATAATAAAAAATAATTCTGATTCTTATCTTGACAACAGAGGTATGGTTTTATTCTGAAACCACACATACCTGGTCTTATACCAGGTATGAAAGGTCAAGACCAAACATTGAATTGAAACATCTTAATCAGTTGTTTAGTTGTTAATCATGGCCCTTAACCAGCTTATTGTGGAAAATCTAAACTTGGCATGTAAATCGCCCCATCTTTCTCATAAAATGCATCATATGACACAAAAAAAGCTTTTCCGACATTTCAGAAATGTTGCACAAAATGTATCTTCAAATTGAAAGCCAAAAAGACCCCAGCCACAGTGGGGCGGCTGCGGCTGTAAAGTGCCAAACTGTTGTTGTGTCCTTAGGCAAGACACTTCACCCCCATTGCCTAGAATGAGTCTGGTGTGTGTGTGAATAGTTGGTGGTGGTCGGAGGGGCCGATGGCACATACTGGTTGCCTCGCTTCTGTCAGTGTGCCCCAGGGCAGCTGTGGCTACAGTAGTAGTTTATCACCTCCGTGTATGGAGTGAATGAATAATGACATGTGAAGCGTCTTTGAGTGTCCAGAAAAGCGCTACAGAAAACCAATGCATTATTATTATTATTATGTTTTGTATTCTACAGTGTTGCTGTAGCAATGACAGAAACTTCCCATGTGTTAATGTAAAATCAACTGCTCAAACTTGGACACACTCCTTCAGGAGCCACTGTGTGAGTTATCAAAAATCTGAGCCATCGGTTTGGGATTCAAACATTTTTTAGGAACTTTGTTTTGGCATCCCAATGAAAAAGTAAATGGGACCCATGCCATATCTGGGAACATATTGTTGTGGCAATGACACGAAAGATGCCATTTTTGTTAATGGAAAAATCCCTATGTCTCATCATCAGCTCATATACTACCTGTATGGACTCAGATGCATGCGTGGTGCAGCTGCAGTATCAGAACAAATATGTCTAAAACCTCACATTCTTTCTAATCTTACATGTGTTCAATACAATAAAGTTCTACAACCTGTGAAGAGTAAAACAAAGGGGCAAGGGTCATTCAACTATATTATATTTATATATTTTTTACACCAGGTAATGAACTGGGCCTATACGCCTTCAAAGTACCAGAAATATATACTATCGAACTAATTTACAATAATATACTATATATTTACTAGTATTTTATGGTTTTTATCCCATGTTTATTGTTAACTGATATTTTATTTTACTGTGCAGTACTTTGAAAACTTGTTTTATAAAATGTGCTATATAAACAAAGTGGATTGGATTGACTATATTTAGTGGGATAATTTATTTAAAGATGGGTGCCTAACGGTCTCTGGAGGAGGAAGGCTCCTCACGGTCTCTGGAGGAGGAAGGCTCCTCATGGTCTCTGGAGGAGGAAGGCTCCTCACGGTCTCTGGAGGAGGAAGGCTCTTCATGGTCTCTGGAGGAGGAAGGCTCCTCACGGTCTCTAGAGGAGGAAGGCTCCTCATGGTCTCTAGAGGAGCGAGTCCCATGCGTGTCACTGGTTGATGGTGGTTTTCTCGATGGCCTCCCTTATCCAGCTCTTGAACCGTTTCCCTTCAGATCTGATGACCTTTGCCCCGTCCCAATCTATTTAGTGGTTATAGAAGATGGCTCACATCTTTGCAGCCGAAACATATTAGAAATGTATTTAGATCTTAAATAGTTATCAATGAAACATGTGCAGAGGCTGTGTGCACATCACAATGATCACAATGATTGTAACATAGGCTTTTTCCGTGTGCTCTCAGATACATCTGCTGGCCTTGTCTCAGTAGGTTCCGGTTTACATGGTTACATACCCACAAACCAGTGTAAATTGTTCGAATTCAGTTCCTCCGAATGGTTAACGTACTCCATGTAAAGTTCATAACTAACTCTGAGTGTGTGTTTTTGCAGTGCAGCAGCAGCAGCGTGTCTTGAGCGCAGGGGGCCAGCGGAGGGAAGTGCGGAGAGAAGAAAAGCACTGGTGTGCTTCAAGTGTGCAGCCTTAAAGACACAGCTGGCCCCAACAAAAGAGCCCGGGGCCAGGCCAGCCATGTGCAAGAGGTTTGTGTACATTAGAACATTCATGAAATACAAGTCATTAAATGCTTGATTTAAAGCTGGGCTACATAACTTTCAAACCACAACAATGAAACTATGTAAAAAACAATTATAGTTCCTGCCTCTAAAATGGTTTGGTTTAATCACTGGTTTTCACATGCTCGTATTTTGGTCTCTGTCAAATCTTTAGATCAGTTTATTCAGACAGAAAGCTGTTAGCCCAAAGAGTCAAAAAGTGACTCACAGGGCTCTTTCTTAAACTAAAGATGTCATGCTCTCTTGTTGTCTGATGTGATACTTTGAGTCTTTCTGTTGGAAAAAACATGATTATAACATAAGCTTTTATGGGAAAAAAGTTAGAATCCCATACTTTATATACAAATGTGTCGATGTGGTATTTTCAGCTGATACAATCCTGATTTTGCCCTGACACACAGGTTTATTACTGCCGTTTTTACAAAACTAAGACAAAATACAGTTTAAAATGTATTTGTTCATCTGGTCTTTAACTACCAAATACAACAGTCACATTTGATTTCTCACATTATGGCTCTTGGGGAACTGTCTGAGGACGTCACACTAAATATGAAAATCTATGGAATCTATAAAAATATTCATTGCGTCATTCTCTATTATTCCGTCCTGTGATGTGGCTCTGTTTCCGTGAAACATGGTCATAGCAAAGATTATATAAATGAGTCAAACATGCAGGAATCCCACTAAAAAACATGTTTAAGGGGAAGATGTGAAAATTCCATTTGCAGGTCATGTCCGCTTTAATATAATCCAAATTCTGAATATTGCACAATGTTACATTATGGAGTGTCACCAATCTATCGATGAAACTTAATGATTAGAATATTTGTATTCAAAAGTCCATTTACTTATGTAGTTCAACTTATATATATATATGACGGACTCATAACATGCAAAGTCAGATTTATCAAACCTTTTGTGTTTTTTATTATGTTCATAATGGGCTCACAGAAATAAAACATCCCAGAAAACATGTTCGAAAACTGACTGTAAGCCATAATCATAAAAGATACTATTATATTCAATTATTATATTATTAAAACTTGTCATATGTCTCTTTGTAATGAAAACAATTTGAGTTTTTTTTCTGTATTCATTTCATATTTTCAGCGCATTTTTGAAAACTGAAAGTTATCTTAACATACTGTGAGTAGTTTAAAGCTGACATAAAAAAGAACATATTTTAGATTTACCAATAGGTCAAGCAGGTTCATGCACAGCATTTAAAAGGAAAAATCCTTCATAGTGAAAATTTGCTTTCTTTGGTTCATTCCGAAATGTTGTTAAATCAAGTTAAGGTAAATGTTACCCTGCATCTTTTTGTGCACCCAAATGATGGCGTTAATCATTTCCTCCTTACAGTATATGTTATGATAAACAACTGCTGTAGCCACAGTTGCCCTGGGACATACTGACGAAAGCAAGGCTACCCCTCGGCCACCACCAGCCTTACACACACACACACACAAGGGTGAAGTGTCTTGCTTAAGAACACAATCCCCCTGTGGCATCTTCCCAGAGGTCTCCCATCACACTACCAATGACGAGGCCCTGCACTGCTTATCTTCTGAGATCTGACGGGATCAGGCTGCTGATTTTGTACACAAATGTATCACTCAAAATATTCCCAAATTGACACACATTCCCAACAATTCAACCAATTTCTCACTTTGTCTTTTTTTCTCTTTATTTTCTTTTTTGCAGTGCTGAAATTTGAAAAATGTGAGCAGGAAAAAGCTGCAAAAAGCGCCTCCTCTTCGCTTCCTCTGGCTCCACGTATGCGCCCTCCCACCAGCTCTTTATTCCAATCCGGTCCCACCCCTGTCCACGCTCCCTCCCTCCTTCATTCCTGCTCTCTCTCTCACACACACATACACACACACACATACACACACACACACACGCTGATATATATAAACGCAAGCGGTGACGGATGGCCTCTCTGCTCTAAACCAGTTTCTGCCTTTTACTTTATGGCACGTTGCAAGACCCGAGCCGCCGCGAGCTGGAGCAGAAACGTGAGCAATGGTGGGAGCAGTGTGAGCAGCATGAGCAGGCAGACCTCTCCACTTTCTCTTCTCGCATTGCACTGCTCTCACTCCCTTTGTGCCTCAGAAGACCTCATTCTATTCAAAAACCACCTGAACTTGACACGGTTTGGCTCCTTAGATTCCAGAAACCGCCAGGATGGTCTGAAAACGGCAGCCCGAATGTGGAGAAGAGTGAAGAAGATGCAAAAGCTGCAAGCGAGTCAAGCAGGCTGGGAGTCCAAGAGTTGGGAACAACGCAGGAAAAGGTAAAAAAAAACATGGCTTTTCTTTCAAACGTGTGAATCCAGAGACTGCAACAACCAATAGTGACTAGTGGGCTTATGAAACGGATCACGTTTTTATTATCACAGTCATTTATTAGGCAAATGGACCATGAAAAAGACAAAACCGTGTCATTTGTTCCATTAAAAAGTTGATAAGTGCTTGCAGTAGTATGTTTTGTGTCTTGTCGGAGGGATTTTTCAGTCTTAGAACCAGATATGCCTATAGAAAGAGCACATAATGTCTCCAACCTGACACGGAGGGTGTGTGAAAGAGCAGTGCTGGATTAATTCAAAAGCCACTGAAAGGAGGAACAACTATCTGGTGAAATAAAAATCTATTTGCAGAAAAGATACCAATTACTTCAACTAAAAATCAAGTGTTTCTGTCTTTTACGGCGTGTATTTTTTCAGTTGTTGCATCTGTGAGCTGCAAAACGTGCCAAAAATATTCATGTAATTTTCTCCCAAAAAAATGAAAAACTCAATTCACAATTCAAAAGGATTTATTTTTTTGGTTTTGGATTTTATTTTATTTTAAAGAATATATTTGTATTTTAATCATGAACTATCATGTTAGATTGCCCCAAACACTCACAGAATATATATATAAAATGTTTTACAACCCAGTGTTTGGGTTATAAAAAGAATGAAATAAACACAGGATTTACTTGACGTTGCTGAGATTTTTCAGTGCAAACTAATGTGTGGATTGCTACATGACAAGTGAATTCTGCAGATTCAGAGCTTTAAAATGAGGAATAACATGTCTATATTGCAAGAGCTAAGGTTTGACCACAAAAAAAAAAATCTATTCTCTTGAAATATGAACTGGATCAACTGGATTTTTATTTTTTTATATATATATATGCATTTGATCCTATATTTGTGCTGTTGTAATGTGTTTAAAGAAACATCCTAACTATGTTAAGTCTATATACTTGCTTTTCATGTTTTAGAAGGTGGAACCATTCCTGAAGTAGAACATGTATGGAAACATGTATGAAAGATAGAAGACAGAATGTATTTTCCCACTTCCACTACCAGATGGAGGACTATCATGCTGTATATTCTTCTTAGAGATTCACCTGTGTGGGTCGTCCTGCTTCTGGTGGTTGGAAGACAGCGCCAAAAAAAGTGTAAAACAGCAGAAAAGACTCATCACAGGAACTTCACGTGACCACTGTGAGGAAGACAAGGCAGCAGTCCAAACTGTCAAGTACCAAAATTGCTGATCTTCAAACAGAATCAACATAGAATTCCCCTGCATGAAGTGGTTCCCGCACATTTTACAGCTTTTTTAATCTTTTCTCACTGAATTCTTGCAGTCAGACTCAGAATTCAGTTGTGATGTGCTTCTGCCCGACAACAAGTCGAAATATACTAGTTACATTGACAAATCTCTATTTTTTTCTTTGAGAAAACTTCAATATTTGAAGTCTTTACCATTTTCCATTTGCGAGCACAAACGTTTCAGCTTTGATTTGATTGCGGTAAACTGGTAAATTATTTTAGGTCACGTGTCGATATATATTACTTTTTTGCAGTAATCCCACTATTCCTTTCGTCTTGCCCGAATATAGATGTTTACTCAGAGCGTGTGAGCCGCTCTGGGGCCCTGCGTTCGGAAGGAAGGGGCCGAAGAACACTGTCTGTCCTCCCACTTCTTAGTACCAATATTTTGACTAATTACATGTTTCCTGTGTTTGGTTCTAAAGAATACGTGTCATAAAAAACATGTCCCCTCTGCCCTTTCTGTCTGAAATGCTTCTGTCTCAAACTTGATGACAATTACTTTTAAGTTCAGAGTTGTTCATTATTTTTTTATTCAATTTAATTAGATCTATATTTTCCACTTGGACCAGCAGATAGGAATGCTCTGTTAGTCATCTCTCCACTGCTCATGTATATTACTTTCATGTCCATCCCTATATTTTCTACTTAAAGCTGGGTACCTTTAAAAAAATAAACAAATTATTATAATAAAAACCTGTTGTCTTATTAGATAATACATCTCATTTGTCCCAACAGTCTTACAAATTAATTCTTATTTTTGTGAACAAAGGACAGCACAAAACATGTATCTATTGCATATTAGATGCTGTGGACTGAGAGTGAGAGTGGTCCTCTCTTTTTCACTTTTCTGATGACTGCTAGAACCAAGCGGATTCTATAACTTAGTCCCATTTTCTCTGGTTCGAGTTAAGTAATTGGTTTGGAATCCCAGCTTTAAGAAACCATTTCACATTCTAAAGCAGTGGACGTGACGTAGACATGATTTATGTTCTAACTAGATCTGATATCACCAAGTAATCAACAGTCCAGAATCACTGTCAGAGTTATTTGTCCAGGATCAATGCTTCATTGGGTTAGGGGTAAAGTTGAGGTTAGGGCGAGCATTCACTTTGATTATGTTTTGAGGTTATTGTTAAGAGCAGAGTGAAGGGGTCAGTGTTAAGTCCAGTGATCCTGGACTGCTGGATGTGCATCCCATCTATACACTACATCTCAGCCCAACTCATCCAAAAGATTTTGCATCTGCTCACACACACACAAACACACACACACAAACACACACGCACGCACACACACACACACACAATACTCTTGTTGCTGGGGTAACAGGGACATTTGTACACATAAGAATAAACTTTGCCGGATTTATTGCAGATTCATGACCTTGTTGGTATTGTCATCCTCTGTTATGTTTGGGGCTTTATAGCAAATTAAATTTTCTTTCATCTTGTACGATGTACATAGAATAATGCCTCTTTATCTAAAATATAAATATTTTTTTATTTCTTTAATAAAGATCAGCTTGCACTGCGGCCAATAGTGTGAAACGGGCTAAGGCTTCTGTGTCGAATAGTGTACATAGAGACTATATATAAAAAGCACTTTTCTCTGCCAAACTAAACTAACAAAACTAGATCTATAACCATACAGATGTGAATTATGGCAAAACCAATATATTATTATGTTATTTATTTATTTTTTAAATCGCGGTTATCCCTCTCTAAGCTCGGGTCCTGCACAGTATCTTTGCTGTTCCAAGCACTGCACATTTCTGGACCGAGATTTACGAGGTTTTTCCATATATATATATATATACATATGTACATTGAAATAATAAAAATATGCACAAAATTTGAATATAAAAAGTCAAAAATAAACTTATTTGAACTATAAATATAACATCAAAAAAATTAAATATCAAAACATTTTCAATACACAATACTAAATAAAAAATCCATACTGTATCTATTGAAAAAACATTTACCCTGAAGCCAAGTATAATCAGGACTAAACATTATGGTTTTACAATATGGCGTATCAGAGCGCTCTGGGGCCCTGCTTGGCTCCTGTGTCACTGGTTAAACCGGCCCGATGTGGACTTGGCTTCAGTACTTGTGGATGACTGGAGAAAATCAGTATATGTTGTGAGTGCATTTCTCTGTTCCGCCGTCGTCCATCCGTCTTCTTCGGCTCTCGGCACCTGACAGCTGACTCCAGTCTGACTGTCAGCTCGGCAAATAAACATGCTGTGTTTATATCACGGCTTGATGCTTTTGACCGCTAATATTTTTGTTTTTCCCATTCCCAGTGGCTAAAGGCTAAACGTGTTATTTGAAATGTGCAAAAATCTCAAACACACATTTATAGATCGTTTGTACCTGAATGTGTGTTAGAGCTGTCAACACGATGAGGAAAAATGTGTATGAGTAGAAGAGGGGAATCTCATTACACCACAGTCAAAATATGATCACGTCAAACATTTTAATCTAAGTATGTATTAATACAGTCGTAGTTTGTCCAAAAATCAGGCCTTTTTCTTATCACATTGTTATAATCCTCTTGTGTGGTTTAATAATTGAAAAGAGTAGAATAATCTTGATTTACAGAAGAAATGATGCATTAAACTTAAATACAATGAGATCATTTCATGTTTTTGAATATAAACTTATATCTTTGGTAGAAAATGTTTGGTGGAACAAGTATTGGCCTGTCCTATCCCTGAGACTAATTTAAGGCCAATACTTGATTTCATAGTGGTGCAATGACATCAGGACTGAGACAGACGTTTATATCAGCGTGGATGGATCTAAAAACAACTCTAGGTCTGTTTTTGACAAGAAATGTTTTTGTAACCTGGTTAAAAGATAAAAAACTACATTTTTTGAAATGTTGTTTATCCTTTAAAGTTTATCCTTTAAAACAAAATGTGTATTTTTTGTGTATTTTGTTTCCGGACCAGCGTCTCAGCCCTCGTCTTTAAAGGCAGTGTGTTGAGGAATGTGCGAGGAGTGAATTCCCCACTGGTGCATTAGTAGGTCACAGCAGCAGCAATCTCCCACTGCAAAAGAAATATCAAACAAAAGTCAACATGTTGCTAGATTTGAATAGCTTTTGGTTGATATTTGACATTTTGACTCTCCCAAAACAAGCTTGGCCGATAGAACAAGCAGAGCACTATTTATCTTTCTACATTAGTACATTTCAACTGCCCAAAAAAGAAACAAGTTTAGTATTATTTCCAACATTCTGCAGTTTCAAACTGCGTGAATGTTGTGTTTTTTGACCTGTCTTGAAATTCCGTGTTGACCAGGGACAGCAGTGGGAATGCTTGTTAAAAGCTTGTTTGGATCTGTATTGGCTTTTTACAGAGGGGAAGACTGGATTCCCATTTTCAACATTAGCTACACGGCTTGTTATGCTGTCATCGTGCAAGGTATTGTCCCTTGTGTGAATTGTGTGTAGTTGTATAACCTTCTCTTCACCCACAAGTAAGCAACGGCCGAGAAAACATGCTTTCTGCTATATTTGCAAGGAAATCCAGGTTACAAGACGAGTCTCGAGTCATTCTGCGACACCAGCCCGTGTGGAGGGAAAGGCCGATAAACCTGTGCTTTTCCTCAGTGGGAATGAGTTTGCTGTTCTTCATTTAACTGTAGAAGAGTGCACAGAGTCAGTGTAATGTTCGGTGGTCCTCAGATGAAGCTCTTAAGCTATAGGCTACATCTTGCTTTATCTGTCACCAGCTTCCATATTTGGACATCTGATTGTCTGTCTCAAAGCCCGCTCGTGCGCTTTGCAACCAGACCCCTGCGCTGTCAAGTTGTTATTATTGTTCATATCTCCATTTCCAAAAAGATTTCCCCATTGCTAAAACCTGGAGCAGGGACTGAAAACAAAGTTTTATTGATCATATTTCATGCTCACTTTCTGTAGACATACAGCAAGTACAGCTGACAGGATAAGAGCCACTTTATCTGCAACCAGTGAGACCAGAATTTACAGCATAAAGTTTTAAGAATAAGGGGGTAATGTTTCAGAATGTCACCATGTGATTCCATTCGCAAAACTTTCATCAGTACCCATGCTAAGAGTAATGATAGTTTTGTATTTAGTATAGTTTATTGGCAAAATTAATGGCAGGGGCGTCACATTTGCTAAATTGTCATTCCCAAAATGATCATTCCGCATCTTGAGCCCTGTTTGTCAGTGGCAGTGGATCCCTCTCTCAAAGTGGACCTCCCAGTGGTTTCTCACTTTTTTCCAAAAGGGGTTTTCAGAGTTGTTCCTTGCTGATGCAGGAGGGTCTAAGGACAGGGATGATCCAGGACAGTGCGTCATCCTGCTGCCTTTGGACCAATGGCTCGTATACGTGATTGTTTTTGTTGTATTACCTGTGTTTTTATTGTGTTTGTTATATTATAAACAACCTTGTAAGGTAGACGACGTAATGTAGGCAACTGCTGAATTGAATAATGTAATGCATTTAGCCCAAAATCACTGAAGCAGTTGTCTGGAAGAACTTCACAAAATGTATAATTTGCAAAAGCAGATTAGAAAATCAAATCATTAAACCAGTCACTTAAGACCGACAGAATAGCCTGTTTTCACAGGAACTCAGTGAATGGACAAAGGTCCTTAGAATCTCCTTCTTCAGTTGGAAAGTCTCAGTGGGAAAAAAGAAAACCCTCCCAGCAAAAGAGAGATCCACTCCCACGTACAAGCTTGGGGAGCGGATCTTTTCATATCATGAAAATGGAGAGACGTTTTTCTAATGCAAACGTCAGTTCCTGATTGGACACAATTAATTCAAACCATCACCATTGGTGTTTCTATTGTCCTCCAGCAAA